GCATATTTCTCCATATAAGTATGTGTTGCAAKTCGATGCTTTTAAATGTATGTATGTACGTACATATGAATTCTAAAACTGTGCCCTAAAAAAATTTAAATATTCCTATRTACTAAAAGATTATTAGTTGGTTAATAATACCTGTTTGGATATCAGTACTTACATGGGCCTCCTGTTAATGGTTATTTATCGAAAATTCCTGGTTTTCTTTAAAAAAAAAAATCAAAAAAAAATAGAAAACAACGCTCTGTATTTATTTAGTTTTGAAGCTACTTTCACAGAGAACTGAAATATTTAGAACTAGAAGAATGCTCTCTTGATTTGGCTTCACTGTCAGCATTAGTTCAAGCTTAGATATAATTCAACAGTTTTGCTTTCAAATTTCAATTATTAAAGTTCAAACTATAGGCATGTGTGTATGTATGTATGCATAAGCTTAGTTGCCACTCGCWTTACTTCTTGAAATTTGCAGAATTCATCCCCCCAACCACGGGCAAATTGCTGCCACTGACTTCCGCATACATTATAATGACATACTAATGCATATCTTTGCGTTATTGTTGYTGTAAGTGGTAGTGAAAATTAAAGTACCACACACTGGTCTTGAGCYCTTGGCGCTAGCAGCAGCTTAGCCGCAGCGAAGCAGCTTATAGCTGCGCACCAAACTACACAAAAAGGCAAAAGGCCTACAGATAATTCTCCGCATTTCCTTAACATATTTTCGCCTGATTGTCTGCCACGCCAAGGAATTTGCGTTCGTTGTACAGAATACTCGGCATTTTTTCTACTCTCTATGCTAAAAAAGGATTATGCTGCGGAGTGACCATGTAGATGGCAAGCAATAGAAAATAAAAATAAGATAAAAGCATAAAGTCGTGGGTTCAACTAGCGCAATCATCTCAAGTGTAAAGAATTGCTGATCTTCGGCGGAAGTCGCATTAGAGTGGTGGCATAAAAGTTGTAAAGTGCTTAGGAAATAAGTAACCTCATCATCAGCGTGGCACGCAATAAATGTGTAAAAGTATGTGCGTCTGTGTTAATGTCCAAGATTCTTCGGATTATAGTGAGTAGTAATTGCAAGGCTCAATGAGTATTGCATAGCTGCTGCTTGATGCATACGCTTGTATGAGTGTTTGGTGGTGTGGTTGTTGCTCGCTGGCTGACTTGCTAGCATTCAGGTATTTCTAATCAGATTGGCATGAGTAATTGTCGGTGGATTGCAGTAAATAGTTTAGCATATGCGCATAATTTACTTGCAGGATTTACCTGTTTTTGAGTTTTTTGTAAAAATCATGTATATATATATGT